CTGAAATAGAATGGGGAAGCCATCGTGCACGAATATCCAGAGCTGAAGCCTTGCCAAACTTTCGGTGACACCAAGGACCATGAAAGTTCTTCCTAAGTCAGTCGGAAGGATGAGATTCAGTGCGTTGAACACTCATTCTCTTCAAGAAACCAATCTACGTAACTTCCAGTAGTGTCCGTCGCTTCTATCACTCCCCTGCGCTTGATACTGTTTGGGTTTGAATTGTTGCATCGGCAAACAAAGAGTTTGGTGACTGCTTTTTGGCCACTCCACTCAGGAAGCCAGGCGAATTTTCCTCTACTAGGTCCCCCAGTAGTGCCCTGTTACCCTTTTTTGGTTGGGAGGGTTCCCCTACTAAAATAGAGTACAGAAAAAGAGTTGGTGACTTGGTACCCTGATTCTAACCTCTCTGCTGGAGGACCTAGAATGGAATCACCAGAGTACCAAAAAAGGAAGGCACCAAGAAAAATCACCGGGGACTTGGGAGGGAAACGTGGCCCTGGGGGACCTGGTCCTCTAGTTCTTGGTGAACCTCAATAAAGCTTGTCATTGGGTGATATTTCTAGGGGTACCTTCCATTTCCATTCTTTCCAGGGATCCGAATCTTTCTACAAAACCTCCGGAACCCCAGGGAAAACGGATCCGGTTTTTGAAAAGAACCATGGTTGAAAAGAATGGACAAGGAATCAAACAGCCCAGTTCCTTGCGAGTTTCCCGCCCTGGAACATCCAACAGGACGGGCTCCCTACGGACCTGGAGATCTTCGTCCGGGGTCTCCCGAAGGCGGGAGAACCAGCGAGCGAACGAGCGAAAATCCTTGCGGAGATGGGTGCGCAAGGAAGGGTTTTGCAGGGTTTCCGAGCCATTTCCCTTTTTGGAAATTTGAAACGTGGCATGGCTGGGTTTTGCAGGGTTTTGCGAGCCATGTCCCTTTTTGGAGTGGCGATCGATTGAATGTACACCGCCAGTAAATTGAACAACTTTTGATTTGGGGAAATCCAGTGACGCCTGTTTTGGAATGGTAGTTACAGATGACCATGTCTATGACCAGGTTGCAGCTGTGTTCCATCACTTTTCAGCACCATTCCATGCTTTGAAGGCGACAATTGGCCTCACCATCTTTGGCCTTTCCCTTTTGCTCTGACCAAGAAAAACACAAGCGGGCAGGTTCCTAATCTTGAGATCCGCGCTTTTGTGCTGTCTTTTTTCACCGTTTGAGTTGCACCTGGTCGCTTTCTCGTTCGCTCGCCCGCTGTTTACGCGCTGAAGAGCGCGCGCCGTGTGCGAAGGGGCCGATGATTTTTTGTCCGGAGGCATCAAATAAGTCGTCCAAAGCCAACCTTATGCGCACGCCCCCAAAGACCCCTTCCCCCAACTGTTTGAGCTTATTTTGACGTCACAAGGCTTAAAGACTTAGTATGCCCCCGGGTGGAGAGACCTTTGAGGAGTTGTTGTAAGGTTTCTGACTATTTGTTTTTCCCGTCAACTTCTGGCAAGGGGATGATAGATTCTAACAGACTGTTGAAACCATGCAATGCGGAACTTGAGGCTCATTTGCGAGTTTCTTAAACATCAGCCTCTGTCTTTCTTTTGGTTTTGAAGGGATCATGAGAAGCGGGGAGGGGATGCTCATTGAACATGCATGCGACTCCCCAGCAAATTTGCATGCAAACCAAGAATAGGTTCCCCAATAAAATATTATCTTGCTCTCTCTTTCCTTCTTTCTTTCTTTCTTTCTTTCTTTCTTTCTTTCTTTCTTTCTTTCTTTCTGTTTATCTCTCTCTCTCTCTCTGTCTCTCTCTCTCTCTCTCTTTCAGGGACCCCCGCCCCCCCCCCCCCCCCCCCCACACAAAATGGCCTCTTTGGTTTTCCCTTGAAAACCAACCAAAATGGGGTTCCTCCAAGAAAGACAGACCCTCGCAGAGTTTCCTTTAAAACCCACCGAAAGGTTTCCCCCCCAAAAAGAAAAGGGACGCACGCAGAATATAGGGTTCGACTTGGCCGGGGACGCAAGACATTTCCCGAAACGCTTCGGATCCGGGCTCAACTGGCTCAAGCCGAAAAATCGTCGCCAGGTGTGCGCAGAGCGCGACCTCTGGGAGCATCTTTACAGGCGAGCCGTATGGGGAAGGGGGAGGGGGGGTTGTCCAAGAGTAGGCCGCGCCTGTTGGTTCACTTCCTTTGGTTTCCTGTTGGTTTCCACTTGGTTGCGTTGCGTTGCGTTGCGTTGCGTTGCGTTGCGTTGCGTTGCGTTGGTTCGGTTGTTGGTTTTTGGTTGGCTGGTTGGCTGGTTGGATGGCTGGTTGGTGTTTCCACCCGAAAATAAATGACACCCTTTGAGACCAGCCGAAAGATGGGCTCCTCCTGGTAGTGCCCATATAAAGTGAGGTGGGATGGCCTTGTTAACATGAGAGAACCCGCCAAAATGAGAAGGCCTCAAAGCCCCTTAGTATGAAGCAAGGGGAACAAGGCGGGATTGAAATGGTATATTGCCTCCCCCGAAAATGGGTTTCGGCATGCTTGGGGCTTCTTAAAGCAACCCCGACAGGGGTACGCCCTGAAGCAGCCTGGACCCCTAAGAAACCATGCAACAAACAATGTAAGAAGCCGAAAACAAAATCAAACCGATGAACAAATGAAACATTTCCCCGCAGCCCCGAATTTTCCGGAAGGGCGGAGGGACAGAATTCCTCAATCCCCTCAACCCCCCCCTCCGCCTTTCCGCTTCGGGCACCGAAGCCCCAGTCCGGCCGGGATGCGAACGCGCGAGCCGCGACATGCCGACTTTGTCGAGGCTGGGCGCCACGGACGTGAAGGAGATCCTGCTGCTGCGGCGCCAGAAGCAGTCCAAGGGCCTGGCGGCCGGGGGGCCCAGCGGGCCCGGTCCACGCGTCCTGCGCGTCCCTGCGACGGACGCGGCACGCGGCACGCGTCGCGTCGCCAAGACCCGAACTAAACGGGGGGCAGAGCAAAAGGGACCCAAACTTGGGGGGACCGGTTTATTAAGGGGGGGGTTTGAGGTTTGGGGGCCCATGGGACCCAAAGCTGGCCTAGGGGTGCCTCGTTTGATGTGGGGGTTCATCAGAAAGTGAAGTGTGGGATGACCATTGGGGAAGACCACTACAACGATGATAGTTTCCACATGGGGTTGAGGTTCTTTTGCTACAGTTTTTTCTCTTCCCCAAATTTAGAGCACCCAAAACGGATTTCGCAGTTAGGGGGTTTACCGGTTTCTTGGAAGTAGGTTGGAATTGGGGACCTGAGATTGGGGCCAGGGGGTTTAGGGTAGACTCTTTCCCAATTTTTGACTCAGGGCCGCTATCCACTTTTGCTGCTTCTTCGCTCGTGTGGAGTCTGAAGTCTTGCCTTATCGGCCGACCCCCCAAGCTATCAACGTTGCTTCTCTGCTCGTGTGGAGTCTGAAGTCTTGTCTTGTTGACTGATTCCCCTTTCAAAGGAAAACAACTTTTATTGTTGTCTTATTGTTGGCTGACCCCCCTTTCAAGTCTTGTTGTTGTCTTATTGCCTGACCCAAGGACAAAAGGGGCCCCGTTTTTTTTTTGGACCCCGAAGCGGTGGCAGTAGATCATTGGTTGACGGGAGATCCTGAAGAATTTGATCGGTCAATATGGGGTTTTACATCCATTGCATCCGCAGTGTGGCTGTTCAAGCGTGAAAATGTGCGAGCAGCGCACTTGGACGGTTTGTTGTTTCCTTTTGGGCCCCAAACCGGTAACCCTTGAATCTATAGGTTATCAGCCGTAGGCCCCTAGCTCTAAGCAATGGACGGTTCCCTTGTGCCAGTTGATGGATCCAACATGCCTGTGGATGCTGCCGGAGCTAGCTCCGACAACGCCACCGGCGGCGGTGTGCGAATGTTCGCATCAAGCGCTAATGCGCAGTACAACCGCACCCTGATGAATTCCCTTCAACTGTACAACACCGCAATCTTTGCTTTTGGGAATGATGCAGCCATTAGGTCCGAAGCCGAAGCCCTGCATCAAGCAGCTGTCACGCATTTGCAAGCGGAAAACCGTGAGGAGCTCCGTGTCGCACAGAATCAGCTGCATGCACACTATGCTGAATGTGTGCAAGCCCAGTCGCATAGAATTCGTGAATACGAACAGCGAGTGAGCGATGAGTTCATTCAAGAAGTGAACTTCGCTGAAGCTAGGATAAGCCAAGTGTGTGAGGAAAATGCCCAAGCATTGCATGAAGCGGAAATGGGACACAAAACAACTGAGTTTAGGCAAGCCATCGAATCCACCCTGGCGGAAGCCCAGCAGCTCCTCCATGAGCAAGCTGCCAAGCACGCTGATGACACAGCCCGTGTCGAAGCGAAAAACGCCAGGACGATTGACATGATGGCCCACCAAAACGGGCTTCTGCAGGACGAGCTCGATGAGCTGAAGAAGTATCAGAAGCAACACGACCTCCGCGAGGATGGATCGAAGCCCAAAGGGGTAGGTGATACCCGAGAGGATTCACCAGAGTTGATGACCGACGACATGAAGTCAGCTCGGTCCCAAAGGTCAATGTTGGACCCGTTGACCCATCCGTTTCAATATGCAAAGGAAAAGTTGAGGTCGCTTGTTACCTATGACGGTTACGGGGATGAATATACCCCTAGCGTGATTCCAACTGCCGAATGCGAAGCACTGCCCGCAGATGCTCGCGATCCGCAGGGACCAGCTGAAAAGCCATCAGGTAGCAGCCGATCCCCGGTGAAAACAAGTGCACCGGTCCCGCCCCTGCAATTCTCTCAGGGGCCAATGTCAAATGACCGCAAGCAGGGTGGTAAGCCTCCCGGCGGTCCGCCGCCTGATGATGGTGGCGATGGCGATGGTGATGAAGACGAAGGTGACGGCCTCGGGCCTAACCTCGGCAATGAAGCATTCGCCAAGATGTTGATGAAATTAGTAAAAGGCCACACGAACGATGAAAAGCCCAGAACCCGCGAAAGCGAGACGTTGCGATTCAAGGAGATGCCAACTCCTGAAACGTACCGTGAATGGAAGACATCGGTTCGTGAGGACGTCCGCGCTGCATCTGACCGTCCAGACGAGGCTTGGCCTTGGATCATGGAAGTCTGGTCCGATCGCGAGGACAAGAAGAAGCTGTTGGAGGAGCTCGGCGAACCGGGAAAATTCGTGACCCTAGACACGAAGATTCTCGCAGCGCTCACGCGTTCAGCGAAGGGCGATCTGGCTCAGCGAATCCTAACAGCAAAGGAAGAATGTGCCAAGGAGGGAAAGGCCATGAGAGGAAGGCAGGTCTTGTTTATGTTTGACCAATATTTCAAGACCAGTGAAGAAGCCGGAAACCTCTACTCCTTGGAGGACCTGTTGCGTGTCTCGCGACACGGCGAAGGAATCATTGATCTCAAACGTTTCCTAAACGCTTGGGATTCCGTGATCGCCGGCATGAAAAGGCCGCCGGAAGAAAAGGTGTTGAAAGACATCCTGCTTCGCCAAGTGAGAAGCTGCCATCTGTTGCGGTACGACATTGACACATATGATCGTTGCCGTGATGATGATCCCAACAAATCGTGCGATTTCCTAATGCGTTGCATGAGGGACCTAATCGAGAGGGATAGGCTTCGCGAGAACCGAGAGCGCGTGTCCAAAGTCAATGCCAGTAAGGCCCCGACGCCCAAGGCCGGTGCCGCCGCCCCTGAAAAGAGGGACCCCAAGGCAAAGAGCGCACCTAAGCCGAAGGACACCGAGGAAAAATACTGCTTTGACTTCCAGAAGGGCTCGTGCACGAGGGGGGCAAACTGCCCTTACGCGCACCGCAAGGAGCCGCGAGGACGCTCCGCGACCCGTGGCAGGCCAAGTTCCCCCAAAGGCGGTAAAGGAGAGAAAGCACCGTGTTCTTTCTTTGCCCAAGGGAAGTGCACTAGAGGTGACAAATGCAAGTTTAGCCATGCCTCCACGGGCGGCAAGTCTGCCGCCGCGGCATCGAGCAACGAGGCCAACGCAACTCCTGCGGCCAAGAAGCGTGCAAATTCGCCTAAGCCTAAGCCCAAGGCCAAGGCCGCCGCAGTATGCACTAGGTACGCCATGTTCGCCAAGCCGATCAATCCGATTGGGGTGTCGTTTGACACCAATGCTCATGTGCATGAGATCCCCGCCGAAGGCGATGGTTTCAAGCTTGAGTACGAGGAACGGCAGTATAACAGGATGTTTCCAAATGCCAAGGACTGCCCCAGGCCGACCAAAGGGACGAACAAGGCAGCACGCAAGGCCGCGAACCAGTTGAATGCCGTAATCAAAGCCATTGAGAATGGAGCCCAGCCCGCTTGTGGTTTCATGTGCGATGTGGAATCCGATTCCATCTCAAGCCTATCGTGTGATGAGTGCCTGAGAATTGCCATGCCGCCTCACGATGTTCGCAAGGATGTCGAAGCGCCAAGGGCAGCCACCCCTGCACCAAAGGGAAAGGATGTGTGGCTTATTGATTCCGGTAGTGAGCAGGACCTCATCAGCAAAGCTGCACTGAGGAATGCGTCCAAGGCAATTCGGAAACAGGCACCTCAGCCTATTCGCCTTGTGACTGCAAACGGAAACATCACTGCTTCCGAAATCGCCGACATCAATGTCGATGCATTGTGTGAGCCTGCTCAGCCTTACATCCTCGAGAGTTCTCCCGCAGTGCTGTCGCTGGGTGTGAAGTGTCTGGATCAAGGATATTCCTTCCATTGGGAATCCGGGAAGGCGCCAACCATGGTTCGCCCTGATGGTGCTCTGATCCAGCTCAAGGTTGACGGTCATGTGCCATACATGGATTCTAGCTGTGAAGCTGAGCCATCGTTGAGTGCAGTAGCAGCATCCAAGCCAGCGCCTGCACCGGTTCATGACGAAGGCATCGACGAAGGTGATGATCCCGACGACGAAGTTGAGCGGTTTGTTAGATCCCGCAAAGAGCAAGATCTGGTTGCCGAAGCGAGTACCAAAGAGCACTTGTTTGCACACTATCCGAAGAATCCCTTTTGCCGCACTTGCCAACGTGCCAAGATGCTTGCCCCATATGCAAGATCGAAGGGCGGGCAGGGAAGGCTCGAGACGAAAGCATTTGGAGATCACATCATTGCTGATCATGTGATTCTCAAGGCCAACATCGAGCAAGGTATCAAAGGCGAATGGTGTGCTCTTGTGATCAAGGACGTGCATACGCAGTTGAGGTACGTTTACCCATCGACCAGCAAAAGCACGGAGCAATCCGTTGCAGGGATCCAGCATTTCATTTCCGGTAGGGATGAGGTTGAAGTTCTCTACACTGATAACTCCCGGGAATTGAAAGCCGCAATAGAGCAGTTGGGGTACCGTCATCAGACCTCCATTGAATATGTTGATTCTTCCAAATCTTTCGTGGAAAGGGAAATCAGACATCTGTTGGAGGGAGCACGTGCGAACCTCGTTCAATCAGGGTTCCCACTGTCGATGTGGCCATTTGCCATCCAGCACAATGCAGTGGCGACCAACATCCTGCCACAGTTGAACGGAAACGATTCGCCATGGTACCTCAGGTTTCACAAGACCTTTGATGAAGCTGAGATACCTTTCGGAGCAAAGGTACTGTTCTGGAATAACCCTGCACGAGCTGACAATCAGGCAGGCAAGACTTCGCCAACATCTAATGAAGGTGTGTTTCTCGGGTACCACATTCAGCCTGGGTTCGCATGGAAAGGCGAGTTCCTTGTTGCAAAACTAGAAGGGCTCGATTACCATCTCGAACATGCGTCCCTCACGGTACAGCGAACAAAGCGCATTGAGCTTCCGACTGATGAGTTCATCTTCCCGATGAGGTTGTTGAAAGACCCTGCATCTCATCCACCTGTTGCCAATGCTAGGACACGAGA